TAAAAAAAAAAGATTCTCTCTCTCCCTCTCTCTCTGTCCCTGCCTGCCCAAAACAAAGAACAAAACAAAAATCCCCCCCAAAACAGAGATTTGGTTTACCTCTACCAAGGAAGTGTAGTATGAGTCCTTGAGCCAACAGCATCTGGCCAGTTCTTAATGTACAGCCCCAACCACAGTCTGTTGTTAAAGCTGAGCCTTCTATTTGAGGAAATTCTTCCCTGTAGGTCAACCATATTCTTGAAATGAAATCTTTACGAAATTCTTCTACGTTTCCTGCAATTACATGATCTTCTATTGTACATCCTGATCTTGCAGGTAACAGTTTATTTTCATCTACAAAATAAAAATATAAACTATAGTCTAAATATATGCAAAGAAACATCAATAATGGTATTATGTTCCCATTACTGTCCATAAGATATGAAGTATATTACAGTTTTTCTAACACTTTTTTTCAATTTAAATGAAGATAAATGTTATTCTGCCTAATCAGGCTATTATGAAAATCAAATGAGAATGGATGCTGAAATGTTTTGTACACTCTTGAACTAGCTAATAAAAGGTTTCATCAGTAATACTGTTAATAATAATATCCTATATTCCAAATACAATCAACTCTTTTATAAGGGGATAACATAAAAATACCTTTTCTTTTTGCCTCATTTGGCTCAGGATATACATATTAGTGCTCTCTAAAATGAGGTTTGCAAATAAAATATGATTTGTCAATATGTAAAACTGAATGTAATCACATAAACTAGTTCTAAAAATCAAATAAAATGTGCACATTGTATTTATTGTCATGAATATTTATACTCAAATTATAAAATCAAAACTAAGAAGCTAAAGAGTAAGGATATAAAATTCCTAAATATATAGTTACCCTTTCATGCTGAATACATTTTTTTAAAAACTGCTCCCACCCACATATATCATTTTAAAAAGCTTTTTCAAATTGATTATCTGTAATACAATTTCTGTGTGAAAATTGTGGTCACTGTTTGCCCAATAATTTACAAAATACTGGGGCTCAAATGAACTAACATTCCTTGATTACTCTCTCAAAATGAACGGACATTGCTTGATTACTCCTAGAGAAAATATCTTAGTCACCTTTACAACCTCAGCATATAGCACAGTGCCTAAAACAAGTAGATCCTAATAAATGTTGCTTGGTCTGGGTGGGTGGACAGGTGGATAGATAAATCTGCCTACAACTTTCAATTCCAAGGAGTTCAATTTCCAATGCCCTTCTGCAGGATGTTAAAGCAGTTTTATCATGCTTTTATTCTTTATCCTTGCTGCACCTATCCTTCCTCAAGTTCATTCTGAAAAAATTACAATCACCTAAACTTCATAATATTCAGCTTAATGGAGCTAACTTGTGGCATACAGTTTCAATGACAATAAAAAGAATGACTGCCGAGCCCCCATTATCGATGAATTTCTCTCAATATTTGAAGTTAATTACAAATAAAAATGCCTAGAAATTGAACATGGCCCTACAAATATGTCCAAAATTTCTACTTTAGAGACATTTAAATTTGCTTGAAATTTGATACAATAGTACATAACTCTCGCACCTCATCCTGTGTCTTGCCAAACATATAGTTCCTAATCTCCTACCTTGACAAAGTGATTAATTCTTTATCCTTTTAAGATCTAGTCTCTAAAATTACTCTAAATTTACTCTAAATGTTTACTCTAAATTTACTCCAAATATAAAATTTACAGGGACCTGGGTGGCTCAGTTGGTTAAGCCTCTGACTCTTGATTTTGGCTCACGTCATGATCTCGGGGTCAGGAGATGGACCCTGCATCGGGCTCTGGGCTGGGTGTGGAGCCTGCTTAGGATTCTCTCTCTCCCTCTGCCCCTCCCCACCAAAAAAAAATTTACTCTAAATATTATTGGAAAATTGCTAGTACTAAATGAACTTTATTGTCCTCTTGACTTTCCACTATACTAATACTGCCCCTGCTATCCCATTCTTTGACTGACTTTTCTTTTCACAATCTTAATTAATTATATCTATAATATTTATCTACATCTGCCTCCCTTCCAAACTTCAAGTACACTAGAAGAGAGGGAATGTTTTCTTCTGCACCCCTAAAGCTTCAGCACTTAGCACAGAATTCATTCAGTTCATAGTAGATGTGCAATAAACAGTTGTCAGGTGAATGTAAGATAAATGGAACCAAAGGAAGAGGGTTTTGAAATTTTTTTTTTGCTTTGCTTTTGTTTTTTATGAAGGGAGAAATGTGAGATCAGAGCTTTACGAAGCATGGGAAGTCACAAAGAACCACAACAAAGAATGAAATGAAAGCTGATAAAGGAAACAGAAGAGAACTGCTATTAACATTGAGGGTTCAATCAAGGCTGACTATCACAATTAAACAAGCTAATATGAGAAGTAATTACAAGTAAACAAATTATAAAATGAGCCCTCAAAGACTACGGCTCTTGTAATTATCAGATACAGGATAAAGTAAGTATGCATATGTTTAAAAAATAGAAGGGTACTGAAGGTTAGACAAATAACAAAAAAACAGACTATTAAAATTGACCAGGCACATAGAAAAGAAAACCAAATGGAACTGCTAGAAATGAAAAATATAATAACTAAAATAGAAATTTGGTGTAAGATTGGGTGGGAGGATGGGTTAGCCTGGTGGTGGGTATTGAGGAGGGCACATTCTGCATGGAGCACTGGGTGTTATGCACAAACAATGAATCATGGAACACTA